GAGAGAGAGAGAGAGAGAGAGAGAGAGAGAGAGAGAGACATGCAGAGAGCACAAAGTGAAATGGCTACAGTTATAGCATCATAAGGAACAGTCTACACCAATACACATGTGACAATCTTGTTCCTCATTCTCACAATGTCTCTGAACCCCACCCCTTCCCCTAATCCCCCCTCCCCCCACTGACACGCCCACCGACACACCCACCGACACACCCATTGACACACCCTCACAGAGCTATCTGGAGCTACCTGGACGCCCTGAACTCTGACCTTCAGCGAATGCAGCAGTACACCGAGAGAAACCCGGACGTCGTTAAAGTGCTGCTCAAGCAAGCTCCTACCAAAAAGTAAGTACTGTGGTGTTTGACCTACCGTCAGCCGGGGCTATTTAGGCCACTCGGGGTAACTTAAGCCACTTACAATAAGTTACAAAGAACGGTCTGTACAAAGGAACAGATTTAAACGTGCAGCCATAATTGTGTTCAGCAGGCCAACTCCCAGCCAGATTTATTCGAGTAGTACAACCAGTTGTAGATGTCTAATACAATGCCAGGTTGGCTAACTGATTATACCACAAGTACGTCTATCGCTACTGACTAGAGAAATCCTTTAGCAGGCTCCTACCAAAAGTAAGTGTTTTTACAAACTGTAGAGGAGTGTTTTAGTAGGTTCTAACCAAATAGGTAAGTCCATATATTATGACAGGTTAGAGAAATCCTTTAGCAGGTTCCTACCAAAAAGTATAACTTCAGGCAGAGAAATCTAGTAACAGGCTCCTACCAAAAAGAAAGCATTTCTAAAGATTGTACAGAAGTCTAGTAACAGGCGTCGGTGGCCTAGTGGTTAGGCTCTCGGACTCGCAGTGTAAAGCGCATAGAGCTTGCTGTTGAGCGGGGATATGCGCTATACAAATGCTATCTATTATTATTATTATTACCAAAAAGTAAGCATTTCTAAAGATTGTACAGAAGTCTTGTAACAGGCTCCTACCAAAAAGTTTGTGCTTTTACAAGTTTTGTTCCAGGCTCCTACAAAAAGTAAGATCGAGTTTTTACCGACTAGAGAAACTTGTAGTCGGCTTTTACCGGACTGTAGACAAGTCCCGTTTTTAAAAATCCCATTTGATTTATAAAACATTCTCAGTTCACCAAAGCCTGATGGGTTTCAAACTCACTACCTTTCGGTTGCAAGCCTACCAGCATAATCACTAAACCACTAGACTGATGATGCCACTTATGAATCTGTCGGTTAGATCTGACCTTTTCTTTCCCAGCACTTACCATCCATCAGTAGTGTCTCAATGTGCAATGCATTCATTTTTAAAAAGTCCCTGTAAAGATTTTTTTTTTTACTTTGTATTTTAACAAATACACTCGAAACAACACATTAAATTGACCCAAAAATTAGCTTGCAGAAATATTAACCCTGTGCTATGATAGTATGAATTTCCAGTTATATGTTAGCTTTAATCTTAAAAGCATATGTATGGATGTTAATGCATATGTGTTTTGTGTTAAGATGAAGATGTTATTGTAAAGCACCTAGAGCTGTTATGTATGGGAGTAGACATTTAGGAAATTGTCTACATTATTATTCGAGTCAGCGAAATCTTTATTACACTTACAGTGATTTATAGGAAATGTTGAAATGAATGAATATTTCTTTCCAATCAACACTAATATAGAGTGTTTGTTTGTTTTATGTGTTTGTTTGTTTGTTTGTTTGTTTGTTTCAGCGACAAGGAAGACATAGAACTCCATGAGATGAGAGGGACATTACATTATTTCTTCGACGCTGTCATGCCGTTTTTCCAGGTACATCTGTCCGCCACTCTCTCATGTACTGATGCACATACGCACATGCATACATACAGGCACCCAGCATACACTCACTTGTACATGCTCTTAACCGGTTCATACACATATCCATATAATATAAACTCTACGCACATAGATATACAATGTACTGACATTCCATACGCACACATACCCATAATTTTATACATGTAAACACACAGGCATTCATATAAATATTTTTATTATATGATTGTGATGATGATATTATTTACACACAAACTGACACACACATACTTACTCACTATCACACACATATTATATATGTACTCATTATAATTCACTCATACATATTAATCAAAACACACATATACATACTCATTAGCACACACACACTCTTGTACACACTCATTAACACGCATACATACACACTCATTATACACACACATTAACACACACACATACACATTCATTAACACGTATGTAGACACCCATACCTCACTCGTAAACAAATTATCTAGTAATACACACACCACACAGACATGAATGCATGCTATTATTTTTATGATTATTATTATTAATAAAAAAACATGACCTCTCATCATCACAG